ACCCATGTGACCACATCACACAACAGGTGGAAACTTGCCCTGGACTGGTAGGCATCAGTTAGCTAGGTCCACTAGTGTGCAAACCCTCTCCCTGCTCTGTTGTGGTTCGCCGGCAGCAGGTGCGAACGGCTGAGGTCTCGGAGAGCGAGGACTCAGATGAGGGGCCTGCGTGTGATGCAGGGATGGGACCAGGACCATCAGGGAGTGGAATGCTGCCTTCGGAGATTGTGGAGGCTGGCAGCGGTGATGAAGAGGTCCCCGAGGAGCCTGTGCCCAGTGCACATGCGCGCAGGGCTGCTCGAAGGAAAGAGCAGCTGCAGCAGCACGGGTGACTCAGGAGTAAGGCTGCAAGGTAATGGCCCCTCCCTTAAGAGACAAAAGCCAGCTGAGAAACTGGAGTTCTTTGCAGGAAGCAAAGTTTTTGTACTCGAGCCTGGTGAACGTTCAGAGTATCTTGGTTGGTATTTGAAGACTCTTTGTATTTGAAATATTTCTTAGTAACTTTATCAAGAGTTCTTGGCAGCCTTGCACAACCTTGGCAAGGGTCCTTCTTATCAGAGACAATTAGTTTGAAACAGCCTTTTAACCATGAAGGAACAGAATTTGTAAAGAATCATTAAAAGGTTTTGCTGTTACCTCTGTTTCGTGCTTGTTTCCTTGGAACAAGCTTTGGGTCAGAACATGTTCTGCCATTGTCTAGGTTCACTTACCATTCCATCGCCTCACTCCATTCTGCACTCAGGCGCCATTCTTGGCGATGGTTTGGAAGGCTCTTTCCAAACTATTGTAAGAACAATGGCATTGAATGGCTAGTGTTTTCTCCTTTTTACTAACACTAGTAAAGCCTACGTTCTAAAAAGCTCTGCCAGATTCATAGCTGTTTTTGCCAGATTTGAGATCCATTTCTTCAGGGTGGCAATCTTCTGTCTCCTCTGTTTGCAGCCTCCTCTGACACACACACACACACACACACACACACACACCCATTGACTTTCTGCAGAAGCTGGCAGAGAAGATTGCAAATCACAATCACATAATTGCAGGGTAATTAAGAACAACTGGTCGTAAACGTGAGCAGGTTGTCAAGCATTCTAAATGCATTGATGTGACCCAGGGAGGGCAGCTGTGATGTTTTACAATGCCTGGAATTGCTTTATGGATGTGGACATCATGGTTGCAATCTATCCTTAAACAACCAGTCGTTAAGTTGAGGACTACCTGTACAATAGATAAAAAATATATATGCAATATTGAGTTTACAAATCCCGCCAAACCAAGTTTTTAAACTATAATTTGTTGCACTATCAGTAGTGGTATGGCTGGCTTATTTACAAGATCTGAAGATCTATCCAAAGGTTCAGTGATTCCAGTCTTACCATAAGATGGCACTGTTACATAAATAATTATCGCAGCAAGTTACAATAAAAAGTACCTACAGAGAGAGCCAATGCCTTTTTTTTTTTTCAAATAGCCTACATACAGAAAGAATAAAAGAAACCAGGCATTTTTATTTCATAACTAGTTTATCATTCAGGGTAAAAAATGTTCATCCTCCCATACAAAGACCTTTGTCAGATTTCAACATGTTATATTAACTGAACAGACTTAAAGGGAGGGGAGGGGTCACCATCAAGATATTATTGACTCCTGGTACCTGCCTAGACTAGTTCAGCAACTGGCCCTAGGTCCCACAGCTGACTTTGTACCTAATGTGGGACTTGAATTCACCATCTATAAAGCCTTATACTATTTAATACCACTCTATAAAGCCTCAGTAAGACCACACCTAGAGTACTGCATCCAGTTTTGGTCATCACACTATAAAAAGATGTTGAGGCTCTAGAAAATGTGCAGAGAAGAGCAACCAGGATGATTAGGGGACTGGAGACTAAAACATACGATTAACAGCCGCAGGAACTGTGCATGGCTAGTCTAGTGAAGAGAAGGATCAGGTGAGGACATGATAGCAGTGTTCCAGTATTTGAGGAGCTGTCACAAAGAGGAAGGGGTCAAGCTATTTTCCAAAGCACCTGAATGCCGGACAAGGAATAATGGATGGAAACTGAACAGAGAGATTCAATCTGGAAATAAGGAGAAATTTTCTGACAGTGAGAGCAATCAACCAATGGAACAGATTGCCTTCAGAGGTTGTGGGAGCTTCATACTGGAAGCTTTCAAGAAAAGACTGGACTGCCATCTGTCAGAAATGGTGTAGGATGTCCTGCTTGGGTGGGGGGCTGGACTAGATGACCTACAAGGTTCCTTCCAACTCTGTTAATCTGTTAAACTCCTGCAGCACCAAGCCAATCTTGGCAGGACTCTGCAGTTAAGCAATAAAAAGATCTGAGACCAAAAATCCCAGTAATGGAAATAAGAGTAGATATTGAAAAGCCTATGTGGAAAAAGTAAAGGCAAACCTCATCTGTACTACTGCCAAGAAAAGACAGACAAACCTCTATAGTAACCAAATAAACCTGCAGTTGATTTGATTAGTGCTGCAGATATACTTAAATAAGTCTGCATATGCCTAGACACATCTATTTAATGGTTTCAAGAAGACTATAACCTGTGCAAGCCTTCACTTGTAAAAGTTTATGCAATCTGACTAGAGAGAAAATTATTTTGAATGAGGTTTCTTTTCAGCACTGTAGATTGTAAATTCAATACAACCCTGTTAAGTCCCCAAAATAATTATTTAAACCTCATAAAATAACGAAGTGTTCTTTGGCTCTATTGCTAACTCTTATTATTCTATTACAAGTGAGAAATGAAAATTTAATTACCAGTCCACATTAAAAAGACACTTAAAAAAATATTTAAAACTCAGGGACTCTGTGTAAGGTTGAATTCATACACTGTGGGTGGTTTCCTTTTGGCCTGCAGTTTTGCCTGATTGGAATATATTGAATCTTGTTTAAAAATAAGCCATAGTTTATCATGTATGAACCCAAACAGTAGTTAATCCCCCTTTTTTGGTTAAACCATTAAGTAGGCATCTAGACATACATGTGCTTATTTAAATATATCTAGTAGCACAAATCAAACCAACTGCAGCTTTATTTGCTAGAATTGGAAATCTTGGTTTCTGCTGGTCAATTTCACAAAAGAATATAAAAGTTTCCCGTTAACATAACTTTTTCAAAGACAATTTCTAACCTATCTCCTTATTTTCGCAGTTTCACAACCCAACAAAAAACTTTGCAGAATTTTGTTGACTGTAATTTCCTTAGCCTGCTGAAATCCTCATCAGTTTATTTATTTCTTCTCAATGTTGTTTCTTCAAAAGGAGAACACATAAGCTATAGATTATCTGCCTTAGTTTAAATTGACACAATTTCACTGTAATCAATTCCTTTTTTCCAAATTATGAGTCAAAAGAATGTCTGTAAGAAGACTGCAGAGAAGTCTAACAGAGCCATAAGCACTATGTTTATTGGATTTTTCTATTCCCAGAGAAGACTTGGAAGACAAGAAAATGTACAAAACTAGCTCTACAACCAGCACACAATACAAAACAGACTGGAACAACTGACTTAATGCTACAACATTTTCCCATCTCCATGTGGAAAACTGTACTATTGCCCTGTTCTATCTCTCCCATTACCAGATCTTTGTTCTTGAAATAATAATCATGTTTTTCTATTTATCACATCATCAGAGTCATTTTGCAATGAAATGAATGGCAAATAAAGTTAATAAATAAATGTCTAGGCCGTTACATAAAATATGTGGATTGAAAATGGTGATTCCATAAGAAAAGCTTTACGCAGTACTTTGCCTGCTGTCACTTTGAAACAAAATTGCAAGAACACCATGTCCAAGCTTCTGGGAACAATAGTTTGACAATATCTGGCGGACCATAAGTTCCCATACCTTACTTTATGGCCAATAACTTATGATATTTTGTAACATTTGTAAAAACTCCTCTTTCCCTTCTTTGCCCCCAACCTAGGGCTTTATAATGTACCCTTTCCGAACTATGAGGTTATTGCAAGATTGTTGAAGGTTTAAACATTTGTAGGATCCTCTGTAATGCAATTACAAAATCTACATTGACAGGCACATTTCATTTTGTTTCATTTTCTTACCAATCTCATTTACACCTGGGGGCGGGGTGGGGGGAGGGAATCGCAAAGCTCTCAACCGGTTTTCACCCTCATTACGTAAGAATGTTCTCCGGAAAGGCAGACAGACAGACGTAAAGGAGTTTTGAAATCCGCTTGAGAATGCATTTAATAATTTCCATTCAAAATGTGCATTTTAAGCAGTATAGACTTTATAAAGGGAGCTATTCCAACAACACAATATAAGATTTGTTGGAGCCTTATAAAACACACACAGAGAGACACCCCTTTTGGAGGTTGCTGCTTATTAAATAAATCCCCATTCCAAGTTTGCACAAGCCAGCAAAAGTTTGCATCTGCAGCCCCCTTTCCTAGGAAGCAGGTCTCGGTTCGCCGCTGGTGCTGGCAGTCACCCACGGGCGGGAAGGTTAGACGTACATCTGCAAAAGGCCAGAGATCGGCCCTAGGAAATCTCCAGCCTCCCTCGGCAAGGTTACCTTTACTTTTTTGGCTCGGCTCATGGTGCCCACGCAGCTCTTTTTTCCTCCAAATCGCTCGCAATGGCTCCTTTCTCTTGTCACCTCCGCTCGCCCAGCTTGCCCCACCCTCTCCGCCACTTGTTTTTGCAGCCCCGCCCCGCCTTCCTGGTTCCGCCCACTCCCCGCCCGCCCTTGAAGGATGACGTAGACTTGGAGGTTGCCCACAGCTCGCATTTCAGCGGTCGGCCACGCCCCCCGGGCTCTCCCGGAGCTCCTGATTGGCGGGCATCCCGTCGGGTCATTTGCATGTCGCCTCCCAATCGGCGCGAGCCAGAAGAGAGCAGCAAAGAGAGAAGTTCGCGCAAAGCTTCTGCGAAGTGTCTCTCGGGGTGGGACGTTGGGGAAGGGGGGGGAGCGCGGAGCTGGGAAACCCCGACAGGCAGCAGCAGCAGCAGCAGCAGCAGCAGCCTCCACAGCAGCAGCAGCAGCATCCGTTCTGGGCTGCTTTGGGTTTCCTCTCGTTCCCTCCGCGTGTCTCGTCTTCTGAATTGATTCTGGAGGACTCTTCCCCCCCCCCCCCCCACTTCCACCAATTAGGCGGTAGGCATTAGCGCTCCTCAGAGCTCTGCTGGATCCTCCGCATCCGCTGGCCCAAGATTTTTTCCACCCAAGACGGAGAAGAAATGATCTCACTCGGCCCGTGGAATGGAGACAGCTGGCAGGCGTAAAAACCTGAAGGCAACGCGGGAGCTCCAGCACCAACCGGACTCGCATCCCGACGCCTAAGCCCCGCGACCGTCCTCGGTCGCCTTCGCCAAACCGCGCGGGGGGGACTCAGCAGCGGCGGTGCCTCGGAGGAGGGGACCGCCGAGGTCGGTTTTTTTTTTTGGTTTGGTTTGTTTGTTTCCCCCCCCCCCGCCCCCCCATGGCTGGGCTATATAGCTCGCCTTTGAAGACCCTGGAAGACCTCACCTTGGACTCCGGGTATGGGGCAGGGGACTCCTGCAGGTCCCTCAGCCTCTCGTCCTGCAAGTCCAACAGCCAAGCCTTGGCCTCGTCTCAAGCTCGGGGCAACTGGTGGTACTACTCGGGCTCCATGAACAGCCGGAACAACAGCTGGGATACCGTCAACCCCGTCCTGCCGGAGGATCCCGAAGTTGCCGACATCTTCGCCAAATGCGCCAAACTGCCCGACCTGGAGGAATTCCCTTGGAGCGAGGAAGACGTGGAGAAGATCCTGAGGAAGGGGCAAGAGAAAGAGGGGACCAAGGGAGGAAGAGGAGGAGGAGGAGGCTTCAGCCCAGAAGCCGCGAGGAGGCTGTCGATGCTCCTCCGGAGGCCGCTGATCCGGATCTCTCGGGAAGCGCAACGCCTGAGCGTCATGCACGCCAAGTGCACCCGCTTCGAGATCCAGAGCGCCATCAAGCTGATCCAGAGTTGGTCCCTGTCGGAGAGTTGCGTCCTGGCCACCGTCAAAGCCCTTTCGCTGTACAGCATGAGCGCCGGCGACGGCTTGAGGAAAGGCAAATCGGCCCGCTGTGGCCTCACCTTTTCCGTCGGGCGCTTTTTCAGGTGGATGGTGGACACCCGGATCTCGGTTCGGATCCACGAGTACGCGGCCATCGCGCTTGCCTCCTGCATGGAGAACCTGGTGGAGGAGATCAAGGGCCGGGTCCTGGCCAGCCAAACCCCAGACGGAGACGGGGCGGGGAGTGAGGTCTCCTCCGAAGTTCTCGAGGCGGTGATCAACAACGACGCGGAGCTTTGGGGCGTCCTGCAGCCCTACGAGCATCTCATCTGCGGGAAGAACGCCAACGGTAAGGAGCGGTGGGCGCGCAAGTGCCTTCTGGCCCTGTTGGGCGAAATGGTTTTTTTTCTTGAGCTGTGAAGACTCGTTTTGCGTGTTTTTAACATCTGGCTCTGAGCTATTGTGAGACTCGGGGCGACAGGAATTTGCTGCAGATTGAGCATACCGCTTGGGGAAGTGTCTTGGTGGCCTATGTTTCAGAGGAACTGCCCTTCTTGATGGGGATGCTAAAATAGTGTGTAGGTCTGCGAAAGACGCAAATGGTAACGATTGGGGACAAAAGCAAAATAATATAGTTCTAAGTGATGCTGCTTCGTGCTCAGCTTTAAAAAAAATAGCCAACTACCAATGGAAGAGAATATTGGTAGCTCAGGGTTGAGCTGTGAGATCCAGCACTGATTATGTTACCTATTTGGGTAATGAAATGTCTGCAAAAAAACAACCAAGTTCAAAGAGCATCAAGGACCCCACAAATAATGATCTGAATGGTTTCTAAAAGTACTACTTACAGTGAAATTGCAATATCCCAAACAAATGCACTTAAAAGTTTAGTTGCACTTTCTTTAGACGTTTGGGAATACATTTAGACAGAACTGCAGTCTGTTAAGCCATTCAAACTATGGTGACGTCCAAGCTATACCATACAGAATATTTAAGTCTTTGAAGGTAATCCATGTAGTTAGTATATGCTGGCCAGAATCTCAAAAACGGAATGAGATGTGCTAATTAATGGAGAGTGAAAATAAAATAAGACCAGGTCAATTAAGGAAAGTAAATGCTAGGTAGAATCAGTCAGTTCAAATAGTATATGTAATTAATTAATGTTAATTACCCAGATAATCCTTGACTTATGACCACAATAGGGAATAGAAACTCTGTTGCTAAGTGGGGCAGTTGTTAAGTGAGGCCCAATTTTATGAACTTTCTTGCCAAGGTTGTTAAATGAATTACTGTAGCTGTTAAGTGAATTACAGGGTCATTAAGCGAATCCAGCTTCCCTCACTGAATTTGCTTGGAAGATGGGTGGGAAGGTCACAAATGCCCTTGACCACAGAGTGCTGCAATAATTGTAAAGACATGCTTGTTGCCAAGCACCTGAATTTTGATCACACAACTATGGTGATGCTAGGATAATCACAGGTGCAAGGACCAGTTGCTTGTTCTTTTCAGTGCCATTTTTAATTGTGAGCTGTCACTAAATAAGTTGAGGAGTTACCAGTACATCATAGAATATGATTGAAATAATGAGGATATTACAGAAGCAAAGGCTGGCTTCTAAAAGCAGGTTACAAAGGGAATTTTTTTGTATTCTTCACACTTTTGTATTAATCGCTCTTTGTTTTTAAGCCAAGATGGGTCACACATTTTTCACCAGTATGCCAAAGGCTTTGTTTCAGTCAAGGTTACTCATGGGAAAGTCCTGTTGAACAAATGGTGGGGCTTAAGCTGGTCAGAGCTAATTCATTCTTTTGATTTGGGAAGATCCTGCTTTCTTAACACAAGATTTTCTGAACAAGTTTCCTTTTCAGTTCCATGTACAGAAGCCAGATGACAGGCAGCTGTGTCTTACTTCATTACAGCAATTGGACAGCATCTTCTATTATCTTTGAAAGCTAGTTTAAAGGTTCTGATACAATTATTACAGATTTTACACAATACTCCTTCCTTTTATTTTCCTCACCACAATTGTGTCCTCTCATCACTTCCTGATTCTGAAGATTCTCATAGCACAATTCTTTTCCGAGGGATCTTTTGGAAAATAACAAGAGCAGCGACAACACTATTTTTCCTTTATTTTTTAACTGAATACTCAACCTACAATCCAAAGTGGTTCAGGACAGGCATAGGTTGCCATCTCATTTACATTCTCTATGTACTAAATCTTAAACATAAGTAACCTTAGCTGGATAAAAACCTAAATATGTCATTTTTGAGATGAGGATTCCTCTCATCCCTACTCAGAATATAACAGCAATTTGCTGAGTGTCTTTTTCTCATAATATTTATTTCTGTATGTCATAACATTTATTAGAGCCACCCACTCTAGAAGATTCTGATTGGCTGTATATTGCTACCAGCTGGTAGATAAGGTGTAGCTGCCTGAACTTTATGGAACTCACTATATCATGTCTGACTCACAGTCAGTCTTTCAACTCTCTCACCCATCCCTATGTTACATTCTGTCTAAGTTCCTGGGAGTGTGACGATAATATTAAAGAAATGTTCCTGGAAATAGTAAGGAAAAATGTGAAAATTAAACAGAGAACTGTCTGGTTTCACCTTGGTGTCACTAGTGCTGTATTGCATCAGTTTCACTTAGGGTGCTGATACGTTATGCCAATTACAGTTGTTTTATTTTGATTACACAAGTTGATAAGTAACTTTAAAGCAGGAAATGACTAAGGTCTTTCATTTAAGGCTGGGTTGTCATAAGCATATGACACCATATATTGGCTGTGAGAAAAAGCTCAGCCTGTTGACAATTCCCATTCACAAAATAATAGTGCTACAGACGGAATTTAGCCCCAATCAGCTTCTTTCCTTCGCTAGCAAAAGAATGGAAGAGTCCTCCTGGATCACACAAGATCCTTTTAGTCTCACTAGATGCCTAAGGAAAGCACAAATATAGGACATGTTTCTCTTTCTGTTTTCCTTCTGCCTTTCTGTCTTTATTTCAAACAAGTTTACATCCCTTTTTTAAAATTCTTGTTTAGCTAGGAAATCTCTTTTTTGCTCTAACAGCTTTCTTGATGCCATTTTTAGCCAAGCTGAACAGTAATGGACATAATTTGACCTTGTTTTACCTGCAGTACATATTCTCTTGAGTTTCTGTTATTGTGGTTTTGAATAGCTGCTATTATTAAAAGCTTCAATCTGTTGACTTTCCCCATCAACTTTAGTAATTTGTTTCACTTCTTGTTCTTAAATTGTATGTTTTGAAGTTAGAAGTGGCACTTCTGGATCTGACAATCTGCCTCTGATAAATTAAGCTTGACAGCAAAGCTATTACCATGTGATCTGATGCTCCCCTATGCAGAGGGAATTGCAATGGAAGGCAACGATGGAAAGGCTGCTGGAAGGAAGGAAAAGACTGGATTGGGAAAGAAAAGATGGTCTGTGGTTACTGTCTCACTGAGGCTGTGCAGGGAAGTGAATTCCAAAACCAACCCTTGCCCATGTTTTGCAAGTTACAACAGTTTACGAGAAGCTAATTTTTCTTTCTGACTCTGTGCAAAAGCAGATGTCAGGAATTATGTAAAACTAAGCCTCTGTACTGAAATTTTTTTTTTCTTATTTCCAGTGAAACAGCTTTATTTTATAAAGTTGCACATTTTTAAGATTGATTTATTTAATTCAGAAAGATGTAAAAAAAAATAGGTGGATTGATTTTTGTCCAATCCTAGCCACACTCAAATCATTACTTTTATTGGAGGTTGTACAAATTCATTTTAAGTGGTCACTGGTCACAACAGTTGAGAACTCTTGCTTTAATCTGCTTCCATTACATTCCGGTCTGGTTGGAATGCAATATTTTCACCCTCATTCTCTACAAATGATTGGTCTTGAATTGGAAACTCCCCAAGACTTAGGTTATTTTCTTCCTGAGGTCAGCTTATGCCAGACACTTTTCAAAATTAAACTTATTATCTATTGGAAATGTACCATTTTTTAATATTTTTATTACCTACACAAACTTTTATATCACCCCTTTCTTTTTACAGTCCACTTTATTGGGAATAAAAGCAGTGAATGAACAGAAGTATCATTATCCCATTGCTACATGGTGCTGTTGGTGCACAGCTTAAAGTAGCTGGAGTGTCTGACTAACCAAGATTTAGAAAATAGCCAAAGAAAAAGATTTCTTTCTAAATGACCAAACTGAACAGACAGAGGCTTGTATTATATGAAAAGTTAAGGAGATATGAAAAGAAATATTTATAAGGATTCAAAATGTGAAGTAACTGTGTTACAATCATGAATTGGATACAAAGCTTTGATTTGTCATGCAAAGGATGGGTTTCATTTCACAGTGTTATATGCTTTTTTACATCATTCTATCAAATATATTTATTTATATATAAATTCTGACTTCCTGTGCCCACATGTGCGTTTAATTTAGTTTTAGAAATGCATTTATTGTGTTAACAAGGAACATGGAATGCAAGACACAGAGTCTGTGGAGTGCACTTGATTATTTGAACTTTGCAAAATGAAACTGAGCAAGTGTTACTTAATTGGGAAAAAATGGAGCTTGATTTTTTCAGTAGAAATTAATTTATTCTTTCAAAGATAAGGTAGCAACAATACTGGATGGTTAAGTAGATTCAAATTCTCATAGCAGGAATAAAATTTGTTTCAAGATATACAAATTCTGTACTTTCGATTTGAAGAGTAAAGACTCAGGTATTTCTTAGATGGTCAATCATTTCATCCAAGCCAGTTTTTATCATCTGCTACCTGTATCCATTACTGTGTGATAGTGATTTTTCTGATAGTTTATCTCAGAAGAAGAGATCTCTGAAACTTGAATGACTGGTTCTAAGAAAATTTCTAGAAGTGACCTGTTGCCTCTTTTATTAGTTCCAGATCTTTTGAAGAGAAATATTCCGGATTTTGAGTGATAACATTAACCAGAAAGATACTCTAACCCAGTGGTTCTCAACCTGTGGATCGCAACCCCTTTGGGGGTCGAACGACCCTTTTACAGGGGTCGCCTAAGACCATCGGAAAACTTATATTTTTGATGGTTTTAGGAACTGAGCCATAATTTTATGGTTGGGGGTCACCACAACATGAGGAACTGTATTAAAGGGTCACAGCATTAGGAAGGTTGAGAACCACTGCTCTAACCTAAGGAGACTCTTTAGACCAGGGGTGTCAAATTAAAAGCCTGGAGGCCGGCTCCAGCTCATAGGGAGCTTAGTTCTGGCCTGCGGTGCTGCCCTGGAAACAGTAGACTGCCCGTGGTGTCTCTGACAGCAAAAATGGAGCTCGGGAGGGCCACGAGCG